AAAGTTGATGCTTCGTTTGTTATTGGTTAGCATTGGTGTTTTAAATATGGAAAATTCAGAAAAATTGTTCATTGCTATATTGAATATTTAAAAAATGCAATGTATATGGTTGCAATGTGTCGCAACTCTGCATATACAAACAGTTTGAATACCGCAGTATAACAGTTTCCAAACATTGTATTGATATGTTTTGGAAGTCAGCCTTCCTCAATCTTTAGATCCTGAATTTTCGCCATTTCCAGTAGTTTATCCTTCGGGATTTATTTAGCAATCCCACTTCTGACACCAATTGTTACGATTATCCTTGAAGCCTTGAGGGATTAACCAAATATCTTTCGGCTCGTATCGCTGGATTGTTAAATAAATGCTCACGATGACCAAATTGTAGTTAAATTAACTTTATTGTACAACAAACGATTTACCATACTTGCTAATACCGTAAAAACACTTTACAATACTCGTTAAGGCAATTACAACGCTTTACAAAACTTGTTAACACAATTAAACTTATAGCTGGCTTATTCGCAACTCACTTTACTTGTAGCTTGCTGACTTGTAACTAACTTACTCCGGTGTCTGGTGGTGCCCTGATATACCTGCGCTCGCACTCATGGCAACTCTAGAACGTTCTGAAGTTCATCGCCCATTCTCTTTCTCTCGCTGTTCGCAGTATTCATCCAACTTGACGTTTCTCTTTGTGGAACATTCTACGTCATTCCTCGAAGATTCTGCCTATTTCTCGTTGTCCGCTTCGCGTTGCCGCAGTATTCGCCACAATATTTAACGTCTACGTTTACACAAATATATGGATTTATATCAAACTATAACAAATATGGAGTACAATAAATATTTGTTATTAACAATAATGCAGCTTTTCTCCATTATTTTTAAGATTCAGTGATTTTAAATAAACTCGTCGTAGTGTACATGTACGAATCTTCATTAAGCACCGATTCAATGAATGCTCTCTACGAATTTCGATTTTACGTTCGTAGCCATTCGGATTCTGTGATAGCACTTTCGTAGGTTTCTCGAAAATCGAAGCTAAGATGGATTCTGTGATAGCCCTGAGTATAAAGGAAAGTCGAGATTCTTTGCACGCGGTAATCTCGAAAACTACTGAACGGATTTTGACGAGACTTTCTCTAATATACTCTGTATCGACTGGAGAGGGATCTTTTTTACTTAGAATTTTAATAGGGTTGCCACCTCTCTAAAAAACTATAAGATCGTTGGATTACAAAAGATGAGGTGTCAAAAGAAAGGGATTGGCCTCTAGAAAAGCACTAATCAAAGCGCATCCATACAAGGTGGTGGCAATTGCATATAAGTAAAAGTCCCGCGTATTTTGTTATTGCTTTTGGTACAGAAGGATGTCAAAACGAAAGGAAATAGGAGATAATTTTCGTCATTTCAATTTGTTGACATCCTAAAGTTGCGCCACTTCAACACTACCTTGTATTGATGCGCCTTAGCACAAATTTTTTTTTTTGAATAGGGTTGCCACCTTTTGGTGGATTTATGTGGCATGCTTTGTGCATTTTCATACAATTCATCTTATCTGTCAAAGCGAATCTGGCACGTAAAGTGAAGCGAAAGTTTTATGTAGCATCAGCTCTAGCCTCTGGATGTGCAATAATGTATTATTTTTCTGAGTAGGGTTGCCACCTGCTTAAAAACTATAAGCTCTTCACCGTCCGTTGGATAAAAGAATTAGATACCAAATGAAAGTGCATGGCCTTCGCATGTACAAAAACTTTAAGTTTTTTGGGTAGGGTTGCCGCCTATTTTAAATTACTATCTTCTATACATAATATAAAGGAAAAGCGAGATATTTTAACCACGCTACAGAAAGGATTTAGACAAGATTTTTTATGTATATAATAAACGAAGTACATGATGACATATGATATCTTTCTCCAAATTCGTAAATATACATACATATGCATACATTCAGGGCGTAGCGAAGCCTCGCGCATCCGTGGCCGGCTAGTTATGTACGTTTTTTGTGCAAAAAATGACATTTTTAACTTCCCAGTAATTTTTCTCTGTTACTAAATCTTGTAAGTAGAACTGATTTTGAATAATTTTCTTAATAAATCATAACAAGCTTTGTTTTTGCAGCAGCTTCTTCAAATGATATTTATCCTTTGGACAGAAATGACTTAAATACGATGCAAACCAAGCGTACGCGCATTTTTTTTTGGATTCTTGGACTAAGGGTGCGAACAGAGTGGCCGCTTGTTGCCGAGCCGAGCCGACTGACGCTTATTGCGAGAACTTGTTCATGCGAGAAACAAGTTTGAGTGTGCATAGTGGATGCGAGAATCAGCGCTGATATTTTATCTATTATTTGTGTTTTATGTATGTTTGTATGCATTTGGGTTTGTTGTTCATTCGTGTTTGTGAAATTGAAGTGAAAAGATATGGATTCGTCAGATGATGAGTATTTAGCTTCGGCTACTGTTTTAAAGTATTTTATCAATAAAAATTCATTCGGAAAACATCCAATAAATGATAAACGAAATGCAATAGACAAAAAGAGAAAAAAAATTTTTTGCATGTTGCTGTGCGTTCGAAACTAGCTTTTCGCAGAATAAACAATGTTTTCGGCGCTGAAATACGCTTTGGAACTGTTTTCTCGCATTCAATCAGCTTTGCGCTCTGACCAGCTCGGCGCCCACTATGACCTGTTCGCGCTTATTTGTACTAATTTGTATAGTACCAGTTTTCTCGCATTGGTTCTCGCAATAAGCGTCAGTCGGCTCGGCTCGGCAACAAGCGGCCACTCTGTTCGCGCCCTAAGGATCCCCCGTTCAAAGGCTGGTTTTGTAAACAATTGAGGTTACAAGGCTTATAGCAATGTTTGCAATTGCACATTAAAAGCCAAATCAGGAAGAGCTGATCTATTGCAACACGCACGCTCGCAAAAGCACCAAAAAAGCTGTAGCACCATAAAAAGTCAGAAAAAAGTAGGCGACTTTTTTAAGACTTCATTGAAAATGTAATGAACGCACGTTCCTTCTTAGCAGAACGTAATTTAGACTTTTCGACAACCGACCACCTAAACAAATGTCTACAAGAGAAAAAAATATATATTAAAAATCAACGCGATTCTTTAGCAACTTAGAACTTGCACATTATTACCCTGGAAAATAATGGGCTATCAAACTGCATACTCAAAAAATTCTTAAAAAACTTAATAAAAAGTTGAAAATCTAGCTGAAACTTTGCAGATTTTTTATAATTTTTGCCAGGGTACGAAAATAAACTATATTGTACGTTACTTTCTCGTTTATTAATTCAACAGTTCCGTACAAAATAGAAATAAATGGCTGAGTTCGTTTTGACGATTGTACACTACAGTCTTTTAGTAGTTGTAAACGAAACAACAAACGAAATGAATCGTACAAAGAAATAGATACATAAACTAAACACAAAACGAATGGCTGGAACGAATGAGTATGATCTAGTATCTTACTTTTACTAATATTATAAATGTCAAAGTTTTTGAAATGTGACACGTAGATGGCTTACTGCCGGGATTAACATAAAGGATCATTTTTTTTAGTAGGTTCGTAAATTTTGGTCCGATCTGCTTTGCACGTTTACATACATATGTATGTATTTGCACACACATGCGCAGCACATCCTAACATTTTACGCTCACACACATCTAAAAAATTTATATCTTGCTTACATCACATGTGTGTGCCGTTTGGTAAAAAGCACGGGCACATGTGTGTACTTTATTTTTATTAATATAAAGCAACGCACATGTGTGTGCTTTGCGTAGAGAAACTTATACACTTCGAATTCTAACTCAAATTTTAAATTAATTTTTTAATACATATTGTGACGAATACTGCGGCAACGCGAAGCGAACAACGAGAAATAGGCAGAATGTTCGAGGAATGACGTAGAATGTTCCACAAAGAGAAACGTCAAGTTGGATGAACACTGCGAACAGCGAGAGAAAGAGAAAGAGCGATAAACTTCAGAACATTCTAGAGTTGCCATAAGTACGAGCGCAGGTATATAAGGGCGCCGCCACAGCGAAGTGAGTTAGTTACAATACAGCAAGCTACAAGTAAAGTGAGCAGAGATGTGAGTTGCGGATAAGCAAGCTATAAGTTTAATTGTGTTAACAAGTCTAGTTAAGCGTTGTTATTGCTTTAACAAGATTGTAGAGTGTTTTTACTGTATTAGCGAGTATTGTAAATTGTTTGTTGTACATTAAAGTTAATTGTACTACAATTTGGTCATCGTGAGCATTTATTTAACAATCCAGCGATTCGACAGATTCGCTTTGACAGATAAGATGAATTGTATGAAAATGCACAAAGCATGCCACATAAATCGTTAAAGCGGCAGCGCGAAGCGAAAAGATGGTCAACTCCCATCTTTTTGCGCGCTTTGACAATCAGCCGGTTTAATATTTATTTTGTTTCGTCCAAATTCGGGTTTTCATGCAGAAACATAAAACTTAATTACATTGCTGATAATTTTAAATCAAAATAATTAAAATCCAACTTTGATGAGTAAAAAAGCGGTACAACATTGTTTTCTTGGCGTTCATTGTGGCATACCTTTTGCGTCTGGCGCTTTGCTGGCAAAGTTATAAATGTCACGCAAAGCTACAAAGTTTTATCTGGCATCAGCTTAACAATTGGTGCCACAAGTGGGATTGTTAAATAAATCCCGAAGGATAAACTACTGAAAATGGCAAAAATTCAGGCCTTAAAGATTGAGGAGCTGAAACAATTGGAATTGTTATCCCGGTTGCGGGAGGCTATGGAAGCTGAAGTCATCGACGTGGACAAATACGACTTCCAGGGTAAACCCGACGATGCATCCGCCAAGGACGAAGAGAAGGATGAGGCTGGTTGTTCGTCGAAGGATGTGCAGCTGACATCCGGGAAGGTTGAAGAACAGCAAAAGGGTCTTAGTTCATCAACAGCTATAGACATGAACACGTTATTGGCTGCCATGATGCACAGCTGTCGTCACAGATGTCACAGCTGTCGTCACAGATGCAAGCGCTGGAGACACGTATATCTCGGTCATCCCGGTTAGAAACTCACCTACAGGCACAGGAGGCACATATATCATCACAGCTGGAAGCACAGGATGAAAAAGTTACACAAATACAGAACAAACTTGAAGAGAGACAGGAGAAAGTCGAAGCAAAGGTAGACGAATTTTGAAGGTCGTCTTCGTGATTTACAGTTGAATCGTCCAGCTACTTCGACGAACGCCCCCAAGGTAAAAACCCCATCCTTTGACGGCACGATTCCCTTCCAGGTCTTTAAGCTCCAGTTCGAAAAAACGGCTGCAGCAAATCACTGGAGCATGGAGGATCAATCCGCTGCACTGTTCGTTGCATTAAAAGGACCTGCAGCGGAAATCTTGCAGACTATTCCTGATTGTGAAAGGAACAGTTACGATGCGTTAATGGGTGCAGTGGAAAGACGTTATGGTAGCGAGCACAGGAGACAGATTTACCAGATGGAGCTGGAAAATCGCTTCCAAAAAGCCAATGAGACTGGCTCACTTAGCTATTGGAGACGCATCTCGTGAACACCTTGAAAGGGTAAAGATCCAGAGGTTCATCAACGGAATGCGAGACATGTATACCAAGCGCGAGACGTATGCAAATCCAAAGCCAACATTTGCTGAAACAGTCTCGTATGCTCAGACACGTGAAACGGCGGCGCTCCTAAGTAGACCAGCCTACAAAGCCCATCTAGTAGAAGTGGAGACACCTGACGTGATGAACGAGATTCTGAAAACACTCAAGTCGATGGCAGAGAAGAATACTCCTGGTGCAACCTAGAGAAAGGATTGTACTAGGAAATGCTTTAGTTGCGGAAAACCAGGCCACTTCGCACGCGAATGTAAGACGGGTTCCAACAGGTCAAACAGTTTAGCAGTACGTAAACGCAGGACTGAGGATGACGAGCCCGACTCCGATCAGTCGTTAAACTAAAACGAGCCAGCAGCAAGGGGCGCACGCTGGCTCCCGCAATTGAATGCCCCATAATCTCCGTCTCGCGAATTGGCAGAAAAGCGAGCAACGTTACTGTTGGTGGATATGTGGACGGACATGAGCGAGTACTAACTGTGGATACGGGCGCATCACATTCCATCATTCGATCTGATTTGGTCACTAAAGAGGTAAGGCCATTACCTGGAGCAAGGTTGAGGACAGCAACTGGTGAGGACACCCGAGTTGTAGGAGAGGTAACATGCAAAGTCACAATAGGGAATGTGACGGTGTTACACAAGTTCATAGTCGCGGCGATTATGNGAGCAACGTTACTGTTGGTGGATATGTGGACGGACATGAGCGAGTACTAACTGTGGATACGGGCGCATCACATTCCATCATTCGATCTGATTTGGTCACTAAAGAGGTAAGGCCATTACCTGGAGCAAGGTTGAGGACAGCAACTGGTGAGGACACCCAAGTTGTAGGAGAGGTAACATGCAAAGTCGCAATAGGGAATGTGACGGTGTTACACAAGTTCATAGTCGCGGCGATTATGGATGAAGTCATCATTGGATTAGACTTTTTATTTGATCAAGGTATGAAGATCGACATGAAGAACAGGATCATGAAGTACGACAGGACGGAAGTGCCCCTTAGGTATGGGTATGATGGTCCGTACAGCAGCAAGCGAGTGATCCTAGAGGAAAGCGAGCAGATTCCACCGAAGTCAGAAGCAGTTGTGTGGGCAAAGATTGATGGAGATTGTGGGACAAACAAATTGTGGGTTGTTGAAGCAACACAAAATTCTACACCGGACGTACTTATTGGTAAAACCTTGGCTAAGACGCAAAAGGATGGACGCATCCCAGTTCGAGTGCTCAATGAGTTCAAGTCACCAGTCAAACTCCGAAGAGGAACTGTACTGGGGCAATGTCGAGAGGTAAAGGCAATCTTCAACTGCGAAAAATTACCTGAAAGCGATTCCATTGGCGAGAATGACATTGCGGAAGACATTAATGCATGGACGTAAGGGTTGGAAGAAAAATACCAGCACAAGGCTAAGGAACTTCTTCGAAGATACTTTAACATATTCGACAAGGATGGCGACAAACCAGGCAGGACTAACGTCGTGAAACATCGCATTGATACTGGCGATGCAAGGCCAATCCGTCAAGCTCCTCGGAGTGTTCCACTTGCCAAACGTGAAACTGTTAGCCAAATAATAAAAGAAATTAGCGAGAGTGGTGTGATTGAACCATCAGCGAGTCTATGGAGTTCGCCGGTAGTACTTTTGAAGAAGAAGGATGGTCAAATGCGGTTCTGCCTAGACTACCGGAAACTAAACGATGTGTCGAAAAAGGACAGGATCGATGACACTCTGGACTCGTTGACTGGAACAAAGTGGTTCTCAACACTCGACCTTAAGAGCGGTTATTGGCAAGTAGAGGTAAGTGACGAAGATAAGGAGAAGACAGCTTTCAGCGTTGGAGACGGTCTGTGGCAATTCACGGTGAAGCCCTTTGGATTATGCAACGCTCCTGCCACTTTTGAACGACTTATGGACCATGTGCTCAAAGGACTGCATTGGAAAACATGCTTCGTGTATCTAGACGACATTATCGTATTGGGTAAAAGCTTTGAGGAACACCTGAACAATTTGGAAGAAGTTTTCCAGAGGATAGATAGATAGAATCAGTAAAGGATTGGCCAAGACCTACGAACCTGCACGAACTACGGATTTTTCTTGGGCTATCCACCTACTACCGCCGATTTGTTCCGAATTTCGCCAGCGTTGTTAATAGCCTCCACGAGCTCACTAGGAAAAGTAGAGCCTTCGAGTGGAACAAGGCGCAGGAGGAGGCTTTCCAGACTCTGAAGGAACGACTATTTACTGCACCTATGCTAGCGTATCCCGTCCCAGGTGCAACGTTTATTTTGGATACGGATGCTAGTGGTTATGCCATAGGAGGCGTACTGTCGCAGGTAATTGATGGGCAGGAGAAGGTGGTTGCATACTATAGCCGGTCGATTGGAAAACCAGAAAGGAACTACTGCGGAACTCGGAGAGAACTACTAGCGTTGGTGCAGTACGTCAAACATTTCCACAAGTACCTCTAGGGCAACGTTTCCGAGTACGAACGGACCATGCAGCGCTGAAGTGGCTACTACAGTTTAAGAATCCAGAAGGACAGCTAGCTCGGTGGATTGAGAGACTGCAAAGTTATGACTTCGCTATTGAGCACCGCAAGGGAAGTGTCCACGGTAATGCTGATGCCATGTCCCGCCGACCATGTAGCCTGTAATGTAAACACTGCTCAAAAGCTGAGGGAAAAGAGGACGTTATAGACGTCCGTCTAACGACAATAACACCAGCGGAAGAGTGGAAGGAAGAACAGCTACGAAAGTGTCAGCAGGACTTGAGGTGGACAGAAGGCCAACTAAGGAGCAAATGGCAGCGAAAAGCCCCATCGCAAAGGCGTACTGGGCACAATGGAACAGCTTAAAATTAATATCTGGCTATATGCATAGGGTATGGGAAAGCGAAGATGGCCAGTGCTCCCGAAACCTGATAGTAGTTCCAAGGGTAAGAATTCCGGATGTACTCAAGGAATTCCACAATGGTCCTAGTGGAGGGCACCTGGGAATCACGAAGACCCTGGAGAAGGTTAAGCAGAGGTTCTATTGGGTTGGTTGTCGGCAATCGGTCGCAGAGTGGATTGCTAACTGCGCGGAGTGTATTGCAGCTAAAGGGCCGAAATCCAGAAGTCATGGCGAGATGAAGCAATATAACTCAGGTGCACCTTTCGAGCGGATTGCCATTGTTGTTGCCGGTCCATTTCCTATGAGCGCACAGGGAAACAAATACGTCCTTGTGGTTATGGACTATCTTAGCAAATGGCCGGAGGTATACCCGATTCCAAACCAGGAAGCTAAAACAGTAACGGAGGTATTCACCTACAATTGGGTTGCGAGATACGGTGTACCTATAGAGCTGCACTCTGACCAGGGAAGAAATTTTGAATCATACTAGGTATCCGGAAAACTCGAACAACGGCTCTTCATCCGCAATCAGATGGCATGGTGGAACGGTTCAACTGAACCCTGGAAGAGCATTTGCGGAAGGTCGTGGACAAAACTCAGAAAGATTGGGATGTCCGCTTACCCCTGTTCCTGATGGGATACCAGTCAGCAGTGCAAGAAACCACGGGTAAAACTCCTGCAAGGGTAATCTTCGGCAGTGAGCTCCGTTTGCCTAGTGACCTGAAGTTTGGAGTAACTGGCGATGCAAGGAGAATTGGGAAAGAGACGTCCAACATCCTGGAAGAGGAGTTAAGAGAAATACATGCTCTTGTGAGACAGCGAACTCAAATTATGAGTGACAAGATGAAGGCCAGGTATGATAAGGCAATGAACTCCGAGGGTTTCCAAGAGGGAGACTTAGTGTTGCTGTACAATCCACAGCGGAAGAAAGGTTTGTCCCCAAAACTACAATGCAACTGGGAAGGTCCGTATAAGGTCGCCAAACGGCTGAATGACGTAGTGTATCGAATCCAAACCGTTGGGAGACCAAGAAACAAGATGAAGGTGGTCCACTTGGAAAGGCTTGCAGCGTTTGGAACAGCAAGTGTGTCTGATCGGGACGATCAGACTTGGGTGGAGGGCAGTGTGGCGAATACTGCGGCAACGTGAAGCGAACAACGAGAAATAGGCAGAATGTTCGAGGAATGACGTAGAATTTTCCACAAAGAGACACGTCAAGTTGGATGAACACTGCGAACAGCGAGAGAAAGAGAATGAGCGATAAACTTCAGAGCATTCTAGAGTTGCCATAAGTACGAGCGCAGGTATATAAGGGCGCCGCCACAGCGAAGTGAGTTAGTTATAAGACAGCAAGCTACAAGTAAAGTGAGCAGAGAAGTGAGTTGCGAATAAGCAAGCTATAAGTTTAATTGTGTTAACAAGTTTAGTTAAGCGTTGTTATTGCTTCAACAAGTATTGTAGATTGTTTTTACTGTATTAGCGAGTATTGTAAATTGTTTGTTGTACAATAAAGTTAATTGTACTACAATTTGGTCATCGTGAGCATTTATTTAACAATCCAGCGATACGAGCCCGAGTATATTTGGGAAATCCCTCAAGGCTTCGAGGATAATCGTAACAATATGTTTTCTGCCATATAAAAAAAAAGATATCACTCTTTATTGAATTGTCTTT